GGTCATCCAAGACAGCAGGGAAATGGCAGCAGCTCTTTAAGTCAGAGACATTCGATATGAATGACAGAGGGAGACACTGTCTGACCCCCCCTCACAGAGCCCATCGCTCCTCACTCCCACCACTGAACAGCTCTTGTGGCTCTTTGGCTCCCTTGAAGCTCCCCTGGGCACATGTCCCAGGCCACAGGTTAATAAAGAGCGATGAGGGTTGTTGTTAGAGTTTGATAGGCTGACCCCAGGACTGGCCTCGTTCCTTTGAAAAATAAAATACTTTCACCCCCCCCCCCTTTACTTTGATATACTGCAGACTGAGAATTGTCCTGCAATGACATTTGCAGGACTACATTAGAGTCAGACCTTGTTTGAGCTTATAAACCCACAAAAGTATAACTTCATGCAATAACGTTTATTGAATGCCGATCATGGGCCAGGCACATGAGGGACAGCTGAACAAACAGACCGACATCTCTGCCGTTGTGGAATAGCTAACTACCACACTCAGCCCACCCATTTGAATGATAGCTTTAGAGCAATTCCAGACCTGAAGAATCCAAAGATTGACATGAGACGCTGTGATGTGTTAGGCTGTTTCTCGAAACACCATTTTCCTTTTTTTGAAAAATATATTTTTATTGATTTCAGAGAGGAATGGAGAGTGAGAGTGAGAAAGAAACATCAATGATGAGAGAAAGTCATTGATTGGCTGCCTCTGCACCCCTACACTGGGGATTGAGCCTGCAACTCAGGCATGTGCCCCAACCAGGAATCGAACCCTGACCTTCTGGGTCATAGGCTGACGCTCACCACTGAGCCATACTGGTCAGGCCTGAAGCACCATTTCCTTGATTGCCTTGTCACTCTGTGCTTTGTGACTTCTGCATTGATCAAGTGCCACTGTCAGAGTAGACAGCTCTTTATACCTTTTTCTGGTCCATTTACAGTTAGGTAGGCAAGGTTTGTCAGATTGCCAATGAAATTTTTCAAGTTAAAGGGAAGATGGTTCCATTGGGGGGGAGGGGTAGACATGAGTCTCTCCCTGCCAGTTTCCACTGTCTCCCTTTTAGTTGTAGAGATGTGGAATTACAAACCAGAAGGAAGCCATTTAGCCCACACATGTGCTCCAAGCAAGGACTATAATTAAGTCAGATAAAACTAAAGGCAGTTGGTGGTATTAGTAAGAATTCTTTTGGTTGCAATTATAGTGACTTACTGGAGGCAGCTTTAGACAAAAAAAATAGGTGGGAGGGGGCAAAATTTACTACCATTTTAAGTGGCATCATCTATTGTATAGACACTGGAAAAAAATAAGGGTTTGTTACTTAGCATATGTCCTTTCCATGTACCATCAAAAAGGCATCTGAAAGGTAAGAATGTAAAGACTAAAAGTAACTGAGACATGATAAGAAATAAATTTTGATATTTTGATGAATAAACAGCATATTATAATTTGTATTCAACGTTCCCCTTTTAACATAACCTTTGTCCCATGCCTTTTAATGCACACTGAAAACATGACTTTATCATGGTTTCACCATGTCACACACGCACAAAAATCTGTAGTTGCTGCTGGTTGGAATTTTCTCTAAAAATAGGCACACCCTGGACCATACCCTGTATAAGGAAAACCACCAGCCCTGCTCATGCACACAGTTTTAGTACCTATTTTAGCCCCTTACTTATTTTTTTTTAATTTTATTTTGGTGTAATAAGAACATTTAACATGAGATCTACCTCTTAACAGATTTTTAGATGTGCAATGCAGTATTGTTACCTGTAGGCACAATGTTGTACAGCAGATCTCTAGCATGTACTCATCTTGTGTGTAACCGTTGATCAGTAACTCCCCCGTTATGCCTTACTCCAGCCCTGGCAACCACCATCCTATTCTTTGCTCCTATGAGTTTGTTTGTTTTAGACACCTTATGTAGGTGGAATCCTACAGTATTTGTCCTCCTGTGACTGGTTTATTTCACTTAGTATAATGTTGTCCAGGTCCATCCATGTTAACCTCCAATTTCCTGTCCCGTGTGTGTGTGTGTGTGTGTGTGTGTGTGTGTGTGTGTGTGTGTGTGTTTTAGACAGGTGTGTGAATCTGGCTGAAATATTCTGGGAACTCAGGGGATTGGGGCTCTTGAAGGGACAAGGTGGACTTTCAACTTGATCACCTATTTTTATTCAAAGTCCTTCTGGTTTATTCCTTCTGGGGTATAAACATGCAGACTTCTATCAGGATTAAGGAGAGAGTCATCAGGGCTATGAGAAAAATCTAAGGGGTTTCCTATTTGTTGCATGGGAAGACAGATGTGGAACTATTTCTTAAAATACCAAGCTTAGAAAAATTGGGACACAAAATGAATGCCCATCAGTAGGAACAAGGCTAAGAAAATGTTGGTACTGTCATACTGGGACATACTACAGAACCTATAAAATCATGAATTTTAGACAAACACATATTACATAGGAAAATGGTTATAATGTATGACTAAGTGAAAAAAATGCAGGCTATAAAGTATGTGTAAGGTAATAGTATTTTTTTTTTAACAAACCTCCCCATTGTATGATTTCTAGCTCTGTAAGTATTTTAGTTGTAAGATAAAGGATATGTTTATAAGATAAACCAAGGGGTAGATTTCTTCAAAAGACTAAAAAGTTGTCTCTTCAGAAAAATTCTGTCCCCTTTCATGCAGCTAAATAGTCTTCCCAATCATTTGAGCTTTTTACTTTCTACTTCTAATCCTTTTATCTGTGTGGCTCACAGATACTTCTGCCATGACTAGTTGGTCAAATGAAGAAGTGGGGTGCAAGCCCTATGACACTAAGTTACCCAGGATCTATAGCAACTGTCTCTGGCACACACCGAGGACATGCAAGGGTTACTGGGGCCTGGAGCATATAACATGAAGAATGAACGTGAGCAAGTTGCAAACATCTTTAGAAGAAAAAGAAAGCAGCATTTTTGTTTCATTCCTGGACTCAGAAGGAATACTTCTATTGTATATCATCAACTATGAAAATGGCTGTAATCTAAGATTGCTATAGATTTTTATCATCTTCAAGAAGTGTCCTTGTAATCCTGGTTTTCAAAGAATTTTTATTTTTTTAAATGCTTACTAAATTAAAAACTCAAAAAAGATCCATCAGATGTAGTAATTTTTAGAACCATCCTCTACATTTGGTGTTTAGATGGTTTCAGTTATTCATTACTATAAATGATGCTGGCATGGATAACCCTGTACATGAATCCAGTTAAGAAGATGTGCAATGGGGCAACAAAGAACAGAATTTAACCATAAAAGGAAGCAGGGCCCCAAAGTGGATTAAGGATGGATACCCTAGCAAGGAAACAGAAATCAGTCCTCAGTGGAGCTCCCAGTCCAAGCAGCAAGTCTGAGAATGAATGGGGCTTGGGAAGGGAGCTGGGATGGGGGTTGGGGGAGGGGGAGGAGCTTGATTATTGGGCAGTAGTCAAGCGGAAGAGAGGAAGGAAACCCCTCAGCAAGTTTGTAAAGTCACACTGGGAGCTCAAGTGCAAACAGGACATCATTTCTAATGGGTGAATAATATTCTCCAACCGCTGCACTTTTTCTATGTCATCCTAACATACATGCAAAAAGGTTGAGGGTAAGAAGTTTTACAAGATTAAGATCTTTAGATTAGTAATGCTTTACCCCAACTCCAGGTCATTTTTGGCATTAGATTTCTTGACTAACTTAAGGTGTGATCTCTCCAATTTTAGCCACTGGCCCCAAACACTGTTATTGAAGTAGCCAGTGATGCGAGAGTTCCATAAACACGGTGGTGGCTGGAATTGGCTTACATGTAGGATCTCTGCTAGTGTGTATTAGCTAAATGGAAATTTTTAAATTAAATCTGGAGAAGTTTGGATCTTGACTCAAGAGCTTATTGACTGTGTCACAGTGTAAATATTTTTAAGTAGGGAAGGGACATAACCAGTCAACAATCTCTGTTTATCTGACTTGATTTATTACATTAAAACTGAGAAATAGAATTGAGAACTGTAAACTGGAGGAAGTTTTTAAAGGTGATCTTAGCCCAGAGAGGAAGGAGAATGAAAGGTGTGTTGTAACCAGAATACTAGGGGAGGGGGGACTCTTTTTTTGGAGGAGGTGGTGGTAATTAAATCACAACAGTTACATATAAAATGAAAAATCCAAAAAAAACCCAAATATAAAAAAATAGATTAATAAGTACAAAATTTAGTACAAACATATAAAGATTTTAATATAATTATTTAGAGTTAAATTTTAATGAATGGGAAATTATATGATGTTATGTTAAAAGGGACAATAGCCCTGGCCGGGTAGCTCAGTTGGTTAGAGTGTAGTCCCTATATGCCAAGGTTGCAGGTTCAGTCCTGGTCAGGTCACATACAAGACTCAACCAGTGAATGCATGGATGGGTGGAACAACAAATGCATGTCCTCTCCATCTCTCTCTCTCTGTCCCACACATACACTTCCTTTCTTTCTCTAAAATTAATACATAAATAAATATAGTAATAAATATAAATAGTATACAATGTGATTTCAAACATGTAAACTAAAACATATTCATAGGAAAAAAGAATTAAAATGTTAAAATGTATCAACATGCTATCAATGGTTGTTTCCGGGAAGTGAATTACAGATTTTTTTCCCTTTATTTTCCATTTTTTTTAAACTACATATATATTATTTTTGACAACTGGGGGGTGGGGTGGGGGAAGAGATTGATCTTTCCCCTTCTTTTAACCTCTTTTTAACCCAGTAGTATTAGTAAAATATTTTTTTATCTCTCCATAAACTTCTGGCTGCTTAATATTTAGTGGACAAATTCTAGAAATATGAAGGACTCTACCAAGGCTAGCACTAAAACGACTGTTTCTGAGCCAGAGACTTTTCCTCTGTGTTATTCATTCACTTACCTGTATAGGTATAGCTGGATGGATATTTTGTTTTGTTTTGTTTTAATGGATGAACATAATGATACCCTAGTGAAAGATTTAGGTTTATAATGTTTACTTGAAGTAAAGACAATACATATGCCTGTTTTATTATGCTTTACATATTTAATAAAATAATCTGAATTAGAAGCCTAATGTGACAACTAAAAATAAGTTTATTTTCCTTCATTGTTTTCAGGTGCTTAGTAAGCTTTACCAATAGTCTGTGATAACTTTGGCTTAATTTATAGATAGGAATTAATACCAATAATATAATTTATAGACACTTTTTTACACATCTTAAACTGTGAAACAAGTTTGGGGTTTCTTCTCTGTCTTTCAGACATTAGGAGAAAGAGGTTTCTTCTCAATGGAAAAATGTATTCTTCTTATCCTAAAGTAAAGAAAAATGTGAATAAGTAAGTAAATTTTCACTCTGGGGAAACGCCCTTTAATCCCAACCCCACTTTAATCTAAATTGGATTTGTTCCCAAATGTACTTCATTTCATAAAGCAGAATGTAAAAGCCACAACCACGTGATCCAAGTAACCGAGAAACCACTCCTCCTCCCATGGGGGCTCGTTAGAAGCACAGAATGTCAGACCCCTGGCCAGACCTACTGCCTCCGAATCTGAATTCTAATAAGAGACCCAGGTGATCTGTAGGCACATTGAAGCTTGAGAAGCACTGGGCTAGACAACTTCTTGTTGTTTTCACACGCCACAGACTGAGAAGGCAATTGATCAAAGAAAATAAATGAAACTTGTGAGGATGGTGAAAGTGAAACGTCTGTTTGCAGTCTCTAACAGAAATGTGTTTTAGAGCTACAAATGGATGATCATAATTCTAAATTTAAAATAATGTGCATGAAATATTGGAAAAGTCATAGCTGCAATGATTGTGTTGTTCATGAGAAAGAGGAAAGAAGCCCAAGTGAATAAAAAAAAAAAAAGATGACAAGTGAGGACTGATTGGACTATCTAGGTGAAGTACATTTTATAGAAGTTCCTGGAAATATTGTAACCCCTGGAAAACCTCTCTTTGAAAGCATTAGTTCAAAGGTGTTTGTAAGATATGTGAAACTTATCATGATTCACACACTAAAGTCAATAGGTTCCCTTGCTTTTCCCTCTGTTATCTGCATTCTGTTTAATTTAGCAGTCTCAAGTGGTGGAACACCCTATACTTTTGTGGAGTGGGGAGATGTGAGTTAGCAGCAAGAACATTCTGAACATATAGTATGCATTCATCACATACGTGCCGGTTCATCATTCATGCCAGTTTGGTCATTCTCGTGACAAAATGTGATTGAGCACTTAGCCTGCCAGGTCCAGTGCTAAGTTCTAGATCAGTGATGGCGAACCCTTTGAGCTCGGCGTGTCAGCATTTTGAAAAACCCTAACTTAACTCTGGTGTCGTGTCACATATAGAAAGTTTTTGATATGTATTTAAATGCCATTTAACAAAGAAAAATCAACCAAAAAAATGAGTCCGCGTGTCACCTCTGACACGCGTGTCATAGGTTTGCCATCACTGTTCTAGATACACAATGGTGAGTCAAAGAGACACAGTTCCTGCCTTCATGAGCTTCTGATAGTATATGAATTACCACTGATCAAATTTTGAGTTACCTGTAGATTTTGTTCATCCATGTTATTTCTGTGCCTTGTACCTCTCTACCTTTTTTCATTAATAATGAGAAATGTTTAATTCTTAGTTATTGGTCTGATTCATATTGACCAATCAGTTATAATTTGTATACAGATAGTGGCAGTTCTTATGGCAAAATGTGGCTGGCAACTTACTGATGTGAAGCTAAGACAGATAACAGTCACAGTTACATATGGTAACACGATCACTATAAGGGCTTGACATGGGCTGGAGATAGAGGGCTGAGGCCTGCTAGGAAGGCAGTCTGGGTGAGTAACAATGAGCAGGAGCCATGAACAAGTCTCTCCTACATTGTATGGATGGAAGTAATGCAATTATGGTCAAAATGAAACATATTTTTAAATCATGTGTCCCCAATTGAGGAACTGGGTAATCTATTTTATGTCTTCAAATGAAGGTGATTTTGTTTTTTCAAACCAGTCTTATAACACGGCATTTAGAAAATTATTCACCTTGAAAATAAATTGCTTTACAAGTTTGCTTGGAATGATGGATTTACCCACTGTAAGTGGACCTGACAACTTGGGTGGAAAGTTGAAATCAACAGCCCCCAATGGGCACATGGCCCAGACTTGGGTTGAATCAACCATTGCTTCATGACACAGATATCTTTGTAGATTTTGAGTGTAGTTGCCTCCCAGCTTCTAACCCTGCAATCCCATAGCCCTGGCATTGTGCCTGTTTAATCACCACTACTAGTTCCACCCTTGTTTTCCAATGACTGGAGTCTCTGCCATGATGGCCCAGTGATTCAGAGTATGGTCTCGGAAGTTGGGTGGACATAAAGTTTGTAGTTCTGACCTCGCTACCTCCTAGACATGGGATCTTGGGTAATGCAATGTCTCTATGCCTCAGTTCTCACCTGGAAAACGGAGATTAAGCATCTCATCTCATGGGATCATGTGGATTACAGAACTATATAAGACACTGCCATGCCTGGCACATGGTAAATGGTGGCTATTACTACTTTTTAAACCCAGGTCTCCATACTGGTTCCTTTTTGCTACATGAATCTCCTATAGCAATAAGGGTTTCTGTTTATTTGATTGTATTAACTTGTGTCTTAGTTTCTTAGTGGCAATATTTTCTTTCTACTGATTTCATATTCCAGAGGCTGTCTCCCTGGGAACCCTTCTCCTTTGTCCCACTTTTGCTGACCTCTCACTGTACTCTAGGTTCAACAGACACCCAGGCTTGGTCACTGTTTGTCTCAAAGAGGCAGTCGTGCCTAGTGGTTAAAAGCCACGAAGACTAGCTGCCTGGGTTTGTATCTCAGCACTTTCACTTACTAGCTGAGTGACTCTAGTAAATTATTCAACCTTTCTGTGCCTCAATTTCTCATCTGTGAAATAAATTGTACCTGTGTCATGTGATTGTTGTAAAGATGAGAAAGATTAATATATTTGAAGAATCTAGAATCATAAGTGCTACACAGCATTTGCTATTATGAATCTCACTTGAGTGACCCCGAGCTTGGCACTTACCCCCTTCTCTCTTCTCACTCTGGGGTAACCTCCTAATTGTAGAGATATTTTTAGGATTTGTATACCCAGTTTCATGTCCTTAGACTATCTGGACACTGCTTGTGCTTCCATGTCAAGACCCCTGCCTTCTCCACATCCTGCCACAAATGTTCCTGGCAGACACTGGCTGTGACAGTGAAGAATGAGGAATATTTTGTTCCAAACATTATGTCTGTGAGGAGCAGTGCACTGCACCCAGACTGGTGGCCTCCTACGTAAAATAGGGTGAAACCAAGGGAGCCCAGCAAAGCGGCTGCCTTATTCTCCCTTACTTTCCTCACCCGCCTCTCCCCATTTCCACTGGTAAACAAAGGTCATCCATCTGGAAGCAAGATTCCTCCCCACTGAGGCTGACTGTGCGCTACAGTCTCTTACGTGGCTAATACAAAGCAAAGGAAAGAGAAGTGCAACTCAGAGCATGAACTTCCGTTGCATACATGGGGTCAGTTGGTTAGCTGCACTGTTACTGTTTAAATTCCACAATGAGGCAATGTGGCTAACCTAAAAGTAACCAGCGAGAAGCAAGGCAAAAGAAGATTGAATTTTGATTGAGAACTTTGACTAAAGCATACACTACTGGTGTGTAACCTGTTCTGTGCCTTTAGGGCCTTGGAGGAAGTCGGGGTATTGGGGTCTTACTTCTCAGCCCTCCGTGCCTCGAATAGTACTTGGCTTGTGGCAGTAATGTGTTTCTGCTGGGCAGTCCTGGCTTCAAGCCTCCCACGGGGAAATTCCTTTTAATGCTCCAAATCCCTTCCAGGGCCACTGTTAATATTTTCAAAAGCAAGATGATTATTAGCTTATTCTCTTTTTAGCACAAAGTATTTTAAAAATATTTATGTGGTAATTATTTTTGTCAGTCATTTGGGTGACAGTTTATATGGTTTGATTAATCAGACCAAAGGTCTTTATTATTTGTTGAATCTTTTATTCCAGTTCATTCATTTCATTATTCCTTATGCAGTTAAACCTCTACAGTGCTTAATTAGATCATTTAATTTGATCCTTAAGAAGTAGATGAAAACCCAATATGGAAATATAAGTAATAAAATGCAGAAAGATCAAGAATATGTAATAGTTAAGATATAGATTTCATTCAGTCAACTTTGTCTGATTCTGATTTTTTAAACTAAATCTTTATTGTTAAAAGTATTACATATGTCCCTTTTCCTCCATTGACTCCTTCTAGCCAGCCCACCCCTGGCCTTAGGCCTTCACCATTGTCTCTGTTCAAGGGTTATGCATAAATGCATACAAGTTCTTTGGTTGTTCACTTCCCACCCTCCCCTGCCTTCCCTCTGAGATTCTACAGTCTGTTCTATGCTTCTATGTCTCTGGATCTATTATTCATCAGTTTATGTTGTTCATTAGATTCAACGTATGAGTGAGGTCATGTGATATTTGTCTTTCTCTGATGGGCTTATTTTGCTTTGCATAATGGTCTCCAGATCCCTCCATGCTGTATCAAAGGGTAAGAGATCCTTCTTTTTCCTAGAAGTGCAAATATTTCTAAAAATAATATAACCCAAAGTGACCACATTAATTCATCCAGTAGATTCAATAATCTTCTAAAAGCCATAAACTAGATGCTGTTTAATCTCCCCTTTAAAGAAACATAAACTCACTAGAAAACACTATAGCAAAATATTTGGAATATGCTGTCTACACATTGGCAGATTATAGGCCTAAATCCTGATACCATTCAATAAGTATTTGTTTAGTAATGATTTGCACTGGGCTTTCCTCCCTATCCTAAAGACAATTAGTCTGTTTTCAGAGTCAGTCAACATAAATTTGGTGACAATCTACTGTGTAGAAATCTGTGACCCAAGTCAAGTAAGGTAGTGAATTCAGGTTAGCGCCCAAGTTGTTTTTCCCATTTTGGAAGCTGCAAATTTCAATGGCAAACATTTTCTATAGATCCCAGGATGCCCACGGGCATCCACACTGACATCCGATCCCTCGCTAAAGGATTTCATACCGTGTAATGATTAGGGGCTCAGCCTTTGAGTCGGCAGGAGATCTGGGTTTTAGTCTCTGCTCCACCACCTACCAGTTGTATAACTTTGGGCAAGTTCTTTAACCCAGTATGCCCCAGTCTCCTCGTCTATGAAAAGGGGATGATAATAACTACCTTAAAGGCTAATTATAGGCCTGGGATAAAATGAAGAAAAGGTGCTCTACACTTAATAAATAGAAGCTATTATTTGGAAAGGGACAATAATTTTCCTGTCCAAGTATGGACTAGGATTCCATTTCTAGAGGCATCGTGACTGAGCTAATTCTCTGAGCTGAATGTCAACACTTGCTTCTCCTTCCCTCCCCTGAATAGAGCAGCTGAAGCTATCTGTCAAGATTAGTTTCTTCCTTCTTCTTCAAAGACCTTCAAGGAAAACTCCACAATCTCCTTCTGTCAAGACTTACAAGGTTTAAGCTGTTTCTTGTATCTAACCTAAATCTTCCCCCACCATTCAAACCAGGTTCCTCTTCTTCCATCAAATCTAGAGATAGAAAAGGGCTGCTCACCAGCCTCTGGATAGTAGACGCTCAGATCTAGGAGTCCCCAAACGATGATTAAATACCCCCTGTGCAAGGCACCCCGTAAGAGACCAAGGAAGAAGATTTAGATTTGTTCTGCACTGTGGGAATGTCAGGTAAATGGAATACAGTTTAAAATCGGTTGGTAGAACTATGTAATAAAACCATAGCCAATTAGATAGAAGACCCGCAGTAGTCTGATTTAGTTGCGGTCTTTCGGATGCAATCACAGACATAGCTGGAAGTTTACAAATAAATAGGAAAAATACCTGAAATGCAGATGTTCAGAAATGCATGAAAAAAAAACCAACCAAAAAACCCTAGAAGGATAATATGTGCATAAGTATGTACTGTACTCAAGGGTAGAGGCTGCTGGAAAAAATAGCATTACTTTGATGTGATGTTTGGATGAAGAAGTTACGAAAGATGATATGTTCCACTGGAGAAAGGTGATATATTCATCTGGAAAGAAGCGCGGATACCCTCGGAAGCAGCTGCCTCTTTAAAGAGAAATCCAGCTCCCTCAGCTCCAGCCACGGTCATGGCCACGTGCATTCCAGGAGGAGGAAGGAACACAAAGGGGAGCAGCTCCAGAGACCTGTGTTGGCAGCTGGACCCGAAAAGGAAAAGGGCAGCAGGCACAAGAGAGAAGCTCCGAGAGAGGAATTAAATTCTTTCTCGAAACTCAGAATCTTCCAGACATTCTTCTCCTCCTCTCATGCCCCCAGCCCTTTCTAGTCAGAGACTTTTTGAGGAATGTGGTTTTTTTTAATCCCCACCCGAGGATATGTTTATTGATGAGAGAGAGAGAGAGAGAGAGAGAGAGAGAGAGAGAGAGAGAGACATCAATGTGAAAGAAACATTGATTGCCTCCCCTACTCGCCCTTACCTGAGATTGAACCTGCAACCCAGGTGTGTGCCTTGACCGGAATTGAACCTGCAACCTTTCATTGTATGGAATGACACAAGTCAATCAACCGAGCCACACAGCTAGGGCTTAGGTGTGTTTTTATTCTGAATTTTAAAGTTACTAAACCATGCCTTTATGCTGGGAAGTGCAGCCAGTGGGGCCTGGCCTGGTCTCTCAGGGAAGGAAAGCTCACCCTTTAAAAATATTTGTGTTCCCTTCAGCTATCTCTGGACTGTGCACAATGAACATCAGAGCCTGAAAAGCCAGTTTAGAGCCATGTCATCTATGCCTCCTTTATGTAAACATGGTCAGATCTGATCAGAGGAAGAAAAATGTAAGTGATTTAAATTTTTGTTTGTTGGCTTCCAGGCTCTGTAATTATCTTGACATGCCTTTGGCGTGGAGTAAATTCCTTGCATATTGTAGGTAAACGAAACATTTTTGTTGAATGCATTAACAAATAACAAACACATCCACTCACATAGCAACGTTTTACATTTTCTCAGTTGGTACTAAACATAATAAATAAACCAGACTCTAAATTAAGTTTCCGTGCATTTACACACACAGAGACACAGATGAATGGATTTGGCAGGACACTATTGAAAGTCATTGGGAAAGGAAATGTGGAAGAGAAAACTAGGAAGCTTCATTAATCAAATTTATCATGACTACTTACTAAAGTTCTGCAGGTCTTAGCCAGATAAATACAAAAGCCCTTGCAATGTGAAAACATTAAATTAGAATATTCGTTTTATTTCTGCAAAGTCCTCTGTAGAATTTCTTAGAAACATAGAAATCATTTTAAGATAAATCATTCCATAATGCATGCCTCCCAAACGTACCTCTTCTTTTTAAAAAGTTGTAAGGAGGGGGAAATCTTCAGGGAATCACTAAAAATATGTGATGTCTGCTAAATTCTCATATATCCAGAAAGTTCCATAAGTTGCCCCAAATTCCATTTTCACCTGACAGGAGATCTGATCAGAAAATTGTATTTTTTTTCTTTTTTTCCAGGATGCTGAGAACTTTTCTATAGGTCCTGGCCCTGTTCTCACCTGTCAGGAACGTGTGTGATGAAACCTCCATTCTGAATCTAAACTGGGGCTGAAACTGGGGAAATGTGCCAACTTTTGTTTTGGTGTTGGTTTTGGGGTGTGTGTGTGTGTGTGTGTGTGTTAACTGACGAGAGTACTATTTGTAACGTAGTCCTGTTTTTTAATTTTTATTTATTTATTTATTTTAAATATATTTTTATTGATTTTTTACAGAGAAGAAGGGAGAGGGATAGAGAGTTAGGAACATCGATGAGAGAGAAACATCGATCAGCTGCCTCCTGCACACCTCCCACCGGGGATGTGCCCGCAACCAAGGTACATGCCCTTGACTGGAATCGAACCTGGGACCTTTCAGTCCGCAGGCTGACGCTCTATCCACTGAGCCAAACCGGTTAGGGCCATAGTCCTGTTTTTTAAAGAGGGACAGTATAACTCAATGGTTAAGAGCCTGCATTCAAATATCACCTATTTCAATGTGTGACAATGGGCAAGTCACTGAACCTCCCTGAGCCTCACCTTCCAGATCGGCAAAATGGGACTAATAAGAACACAGGGTTGTTATAGGAATTAAGAGAGATAATTTGTGAACACTGTCATGTCCAGAAGACACACTGTGAATGATAGTCATTATGATAATAATTAGTATTCCCATCATTACCATCATCATTTTATATCCTATCTAATAATAGACAAACATGGTAATTGACCGTACCTTTGCTATGCCTCCCATTGGCTAATCAGCGCAATATGCAAATTAACCACCAACAAAGATGGGGGTTAATTTGCATACGTAGGCTCCAAGTGGCGGAGGGAAGACTGAAGGCGAGCCGGAGCTGCGAAGATGGAAGACTGAAGGCGGCTCCGGCTGGCACAGTGAAGACGGAAGACTGAAGGCGGCTCCGGCCGGAGCCAAGGCCTGGGTCCCGGGTGCCGGAGGAAAACCTGTGCCGGCAGTCAGGAGAAGGGAAGGCCTATTGCACGAATCTCTTCGTGCAACAGGCCTCTAGTATATATATAAAGACACCCTTCATCTACCTCACCCCTCACCACAGCATCCAATGCTTCTTACTGAGCCCATATGTCTCTGCTTTAGGAGCCTGGAAGAAAATCAAAAACCCAGAGAGGTTTTAGAGGCCTGGCAGCTCATTTTTTCTGTGGTCACTGATGCCATTCCCTAAACCCAAGTATGTGGACACAGCAACCACCACCTAGGACATCTTGGCCACCACATGGTCTTCACAGCTCTTGTTAACTGATGT